AGGGGGGAAGGGGGGGGGGTGAGGAATCGCCCACTCTCGTCTGATAGAAACATTTGAAGATTGGGAGAGCTGAGAGGCTTCCCCGAACATCCATTACGACTTAGGAGGATTAACAAAGGTTTATTTCTTATTTTCCTTATAGACCTTCCATTTTCTTATTTGTCTCTTCGCCCTCCTTTCGCCCCCCTTCGCCCCCCTCCCCCGCCCTCCCCCGCCCTCATGATTTTTGAATTTTTCTTGGAATCCCCCCGAAAAGGCCGTTCCTGCGTTCCGTTGCGGGGCCGCGAAATATCAACGGGAAATATATCTCCGGCGAGAAACTCGGCCAAGCCCTTCGACCACACTTAAAGGCCACGTCTAAAGGTCAATCGCCTTCCGCCGCGGAACTTGAAAAAGATAAAGCTAAGCGAGACACACTACCCGTTTCAAGAGGATGGGTGCGAGGGGGCGGGGGCAAGGGGAGGGGGGGGGGCAAGGGGGGGGGGGAGAGGATCTGTCGCTTATATGTAGATTAAATACAGTAGAATACCCAGAAAACGTAGTGGCGTTGTGGGAACGTTGAGCCTCTGTGAGCACAGTCTCATCAACGTCGAAGGTCAAAATCCAATTTTGCATGACCGTCTTAGCAACGTCGTCGCGCTATCGATGCCTCCTTTGATCGAATCTTTTTGAATAATTTTTCTGGTTGCTTCGTGGAAGCATGCATCGTCAGAGAGGGAACGCCATTTTTCTCTTTCGTTCATCCGGGATTCCTGGGACGCGTAAGGTGAAATCTGCGAAGCGCCTTGAGGCGCCGCATCGCTGTTTCGGATGAAGCTCCGACGTGGAACGCGTCTGTGCCTGCTGGGGGATGCTGAACTCAATCTTGAACGTCGACCAGAACTCCATGCTGGCAGTACCACTCTCGCCATTTTGCCAATATCGGATATATATCGGATGAATGCCAGCTAAATACCGGATAAATATAGGCTAAATATCGGCTAAATACCAGTTAAAGATCTGCTAAATACTGGCTAAATATCGGTTAAATATCGGTTAAATATCGGATAAATATCGGTTAAATATCGGCTAAATACCGGCTAAAAATCGGATAAATATCGGCTAAATATTGGCTTCCCGTAGTTGCCATTCTATCATCGCTCCAATATCGGACTGACGCGATCCAAGGTGCGCAAGTTGCATGAAGAAGTTCATTTCGGAAGTGCTGAAGTTCTCCTCCATGCCACTAGATGGAGGCACGGGTCTCTTATGTCGCCCAGTACCTAAAAGTACGCACCCTTCTTTCCATGGAATGATCCCTCACAGGAGTGTTTAGTACCTCATCGTGTGTCTCCCCTAGTCTCATTATAGTTATTGCTAAAATAGGACCTTTTATCATTTATTAACCCCATATCGGAGACAGAATCACGAAGCCCAGGCGATAAACAATCTCATAAGGTAGATGAGGTATATGAGAGTATATAAGGACTCCTCGCACGGGAAGCCGTTCGTATTCCGTGGAGGTCTTCCCATCTTTCCAGAATGACCTCACATCTGGGGGCAAGAGTTGGCATTCTGCCCCCATTCTGCCCACATTCTGCCCCCATTCTGCCCCCACTCTGCCCCCGCTCTGCCCCCATTCTGCCCCCATCGGAGGACTTCATCTTGCGGGAACGAGATCGAGAGCGTCTTGGCGCTTCGCTGGATCGTAATTCTTCAGTCCGATCCAGCGAAGAGCCAATACGCATGCAATAAGTTAAACAAAGCATGGGAAACTTAGAGCACCTTCGAAATTTTGAATATATATATTATACATATATTTTTTTTTCTCCAAAAAATCGTAAATCCTAATTAGGAAACAAAAGGCCATACGTGCAGGGAAGGTCGCAGGGACACAAGCAGCTGCATCCTCCCTCCCTCCCTCCCTCCCGCCTTCCTCCCTCCCTCCCGCCTTCCTCCCTCACTCCCGCCTTCCTCTGACTTCCCATTCTCATTCCCTCAAGCCGGTAATTTCACTAAATGTCCCTCTAAAAAAAAATCCCCTCCTCCCTCTAATGCATGGATGGGGCGCCGTGTTAGGTAAGAATAATTATATTCAAAAGGCGGAATTTGAGTACGAATTCAAATTATTATATTTATTATATAAATCATTATATTAAACTTTTCACAATCACCGCCGGTACTTTTCCCAAGAAATCCACTCGTTACCGACCCAGTACCGCGTTCCATCAAGCGACATCGCGATGTCGGTCCAGCCAACGTTGGCGACTTTCATCCNTGAATCTAAAAAGTCCGTAATTAATCAACCCTATCGGATCAGCGATTAGCGATATATCACAACACGAACTTCCGGGGGAAAACAGGAAAACCCTACGGAAAAATTTCCATCTCGTTCATCGCACAAAGGTGTCCTTTACCTTGAGCTCCTAAATAGATCAACAATTCACTCCAATTCACTCCTCAGGTTTTGGAATCAGTTTCCTTTGAAAACGTGAAAATTTGGCAATTTCGACCTCGTATCCCCTCGTGGCGAGGGAAAAGGCAAGTCGCACGACGCGGTGAGTTCGACTCCTCTTTCATAAGTATCGATAAATCGAGTTGCCTCTTTCGCTTCTTGTCCGACGCATCGAAATAAATTCATCTCTAATTTGGGATTCGTTCATTTTTTGCCATCAATGTTCAAGAATTTATTTTACTGACCGGGAACGTGGGACATCATAGATAGAAGCATTTGAAAGGTACCCTTACGGAAATGTCCTATAGGAAACCTATAGTTATTTCTTATAGGAAACCTATAGATTTTTCCTATGGGTTTTTGAAACATGAAAAAACCCTTATGATCCTATAGGGTCTTTTAGGACCCCTGAACTATAGGATTCGGTTTCGAAACCCAGGCATTACGACGGGAAAGGCAACCGGGGTCAATATTGGCGCCGCACTTTGGTGTAAATCAATTACCGATAAGCGGGTTTCCCATGGTAGGTGCACTTGCATAATTAATACTAGCACTGCCGAGTCTGCATAATTTATTGCCCGGGCCCACATAAGCCGCTGGATTGCGCGACCATCTCCTTCGATAAAGAAAAGTTTCCTTCTTCTCTCGACCAAAGAAAACAGCAACCAGAACCAGCGAGCACATCTCTTTACTAAAACTCCTTTCAAATGAAGTCTATATATACTCGTACGTGGTTTTCAAAGGGAATATGGGCATATTTCTGGCCTGGACTCCATGATTCTATCTGGAAGATGGGGAGGACAAATAAGGAAGTGTCAAAGTTTATTGATTGGTACAATGAGGCAAGGCGAGACATTTTGGGATGTACAAAACTCTTCTGCGAGAGATGATTTCATGGGCAAGGGGAGGGCACTTTTGTGTAACCCTATAGGCCTATTGGGTTCCGTATAGGCCCTTCAGGGAACCCTATAGGTCTCAAACTGTCCCCATATATTCCTAAAGGAATACATAGGAATCTTATAAGGCATTTTCGTAAGGGTAAGCTTAAGATCATTCAAACAATACATCTATAATTTGCATTTTCTCGACGAAAAATTAATTTTCAGAAGTTGCCTATTCCAATATTTCTATTATCCTTGAAGTGATCGAATATAACCTATAATAGTAAGATCTATCATTGAAAAGGTCATTGGAAAGGTCATTGGCAAGGTCATTCCAAGCTTCATGTTTTGGCCGATATCAGCTTGTCGGCATGCAGTGTTTTGCGCGTTTTGTTCTCCAATCGGCGCTGAGTGACATCTTAGGGGAGCTACGTTTCGTTTCTCGAAATTTTCGATTCCTTTGCAGATGGCTCTGCTTTACCGACGCCGTCGTGCGGAGCTCGGAAAGACCTTCCCTGAAATGTCTCACACGATTATATTCCGCTACTTGAAGGCACTTGAAATATGCAATTTAGGAAGGGAAAAAATGTTTTTTTCTTAAAGAAAATAACACAAAAATGACACAAAAAATGACACAAAGAATGACACAAAGAATGACACAAAAAATGAACGAATCCCAAATTAGAGATGAATTTATTTCGATGCGTCGGACAAGAAGCGAAAGAGGCAACTCGATTTATCGATACTTATGAAAGAGGAGTCGAACTCACCGCGTCGTGCGACTTGCCTTTTCCCTCGCCACGAGGGGATACGAGGTCGAAATTGCCAAATTTTCACGTTTTCAAAGGAAACTGATTCCAAAACCTGAGGAGTGAATTGGAGTGAATTGTTGATCTATTTAGGAGCTCAAGGTAAAGGACACCTTTGTGCGATGAACGAGATGGAAATTTTTCCGTAGGGTTTTCCTGTTTTCCCCCGGAAGTTCGTGTTGTGATATATCGCTAATCGCTGATCCGATAGGGTTGATTAATTACGGACTTTTTAGATTCAACGCGATCGCTGAGAATTCAGGGAATCCCAGAGGATCGAGTCTGTTTGGGTTCTTTTGAAACGACGAATCTACTCTGGTCTCGTCTAAGGGGGGAGAAAATGAATCTCCTCCGTAGTGTCATTGATACATTCCAAATGGGAAGTAATCATTGTTCAGAATAAAAGAATAACAAGAAGGAGCAGAAAACGCTTGCTTCAATTTCCCTCGAAATAGTCGAATATTTAAAAAATATTTAGTATAAATGAATAAATAAATGGCCTAACTCATTCTCCAGACACCTCAACCTCACAAAAAAGGACAGCCGATCAGGACTTGTCTCCCACAGTGTATCCGCCCCGATATAAACACCGAATCCGCCTACGTGAGAGAGTCAGCCTACGATGCCGCTCCGCCCAGAATAATCACCGGCTTGAGGTCAAAAGGATTGATAACGGAGAACATCAAGTGGAACTTGTTTGCTTCGCCGCTCACTCACTTGGCCTCTGGATCCAGTTTCCTCCTAATCCTAACCAGCAGGTGTGGTCCGTGAAATCGCTTTTGATGCCTCAATATCAGTGCCAAAAAGTTCGAAAACCTTTCAATCCGTTCGTCCGAAACATTCTCAACCGAGATAATAGCCAACTTTGAACCGAGCATGGGAAACGCCTGCTGCAGCGGCACCTCAGACCAGACAGACGAAGCGGGCCATCCCATCCCCAATGACGACTCCGTGGACGGCGGTCATCCAGGGTCATCAGACGAAGCGGATGAAGCGAAGGAGCTCAGCTTCCAAGCCCTCCAATACGATCTCCTTCACAGGCAGCACATGTTCATACTCAACAATGTCTTTCTGGCGGTTCAGTTCTTCGGAAACTACGAAAAGTAAGATTAAATTCCTCTGCTTACGTTCTAATGAAAATTCTGAGCTATAGTTAAGGAACCTTTACGAACCTTACTCGCGAAATTTTACCTCGTGACCATTTCCCATTCGAAAATCCATTCCATTAACCTTTTTCACCTTTTTTCGCTGTAGAGATTTAAATCGACGCTCAAAATAGCGATTCGACGCCGATTGAAGCATCTAAAGGGACCTCTAAGAGCATCAGGTTGAAAGAGACTTAGACGAAACACGATTCTCCAACTAAGTCCTCTTTGTGCATTACCATTACAGGGAAAAGGAAGAGATAGACGCGATGAAGAACGAAAGAGATCGAGAGATGACACGAAAGCTCCTCCCCCGCCAGAAGACCTGCTTCTTCACGGGTTGCCTCTACGAAAAACTCGGGGACAACGTAATGCTGCGCAGACGGAAGGAACCCCATGCCAAGTCCATCGCCCCCGCCATGGAGTACTACATCAACTACGAAAACGCCGAAATCCTAAGCGACGAATCCCGCGCCGACCGCGATCGAGCCGGATTGCAATTCAAAATGGACACCGACACCAAAGCATTCCAACGGGGTGAGTCGCACGTCGAAATCGGAAATCCCCGATGACGCCATCCCCGCAATCCGAGCCGACAGCCAGCCCCATTCGTTCCCACCGCGAACCGGAAACTCTCTTACGTCACAGATAAGGAGACAGTGGGAGTCGAGAGTTATATCATTTCATTTTGCTGAAAGTTTTTAAATAAAATTCATACTAACTCCTACTTACTTTTAGAGCCACTAGCTCTACGAAAATTGTATTATACCTGCATTTGTTTGATGCATTTTCGACACATCTGATTTTAACTTCTGCTTTTATTTCATTAAGAGATTTAATTTTCATCGGTCTCAAATGCATACTAATCCCAGCAAGGGAAACAACAATCCTATTCCTTATGGACATGGTATGGGAAAATTTAAATCACGGATGCAAATATTTTTTAAATGCAGTATAGCAATCAAATGATGCATCGAGTTTGTTAATGCATCAAATTCATTACCTGCTGTTGGGATGGCTCGATTACGGCGACATTCAAATGATTACGATTTTGACTAAACTCTGCGAATGGTCAATTGTGATTAAAGATAATTGACGTGAGAAAATGTCGATTGTGGCTATTATTAAAATGAATGAATAATTACAATTACGGTTGAGACTGCGATTAAATGACGACATTCGTGTAAGGATTAGGATCATGCTTAATATTAACGTTTTTACCATATCACGAACAAAAAATAATTATGATAAATTATCGAATTTAATGAGCAACATTGCAGCATCGCAAAAAAAAATCGAAAACCCCTGGTCAATTGAAGTTGCCGGAGTAATTGATTATTTTTGGGATCGTATCAGACAGAAACTGATGGCGATTTTGATTTTGAATAATCGCTGAAAAAAAAATTTAGTTAAAAAAATTTAGTACGATTGACGATCAATCGAGAGAAAGCAATCCATTACAGTCTGTTATTAAAGTCGCAGTCGACGCATCCTTTCCTAAAACAAAACATGACCAAATTCGCGCAATTAAGTTATTTGTTAATTAATATTTGTTTCCATCCCGATGACAAGTCTAAAGACAGGAAATTAATTCCAAAGGAGACGACGATTTTAAGGATCTAAAAGCATTTATTGCGTTCCCGCTAAAGAAACCACCTCGAAGACGAATTTGAACATTTTTATGCGTTTCAGGCGAGGTCTACCTGTGCCTCGATCGCGGGGCCGACGAGGGACCGGGCCTCGACGGATGGGGCGCCAGCAGCATCGGATACGAAAGCTCCGACTACGCCAGCAGCACCGACGCGAGCTGCTGCGATTCGGGAAACAGAATTCATGGAAGTTCAGATCGGCAGGAATATAAGGAAGCGAACGCGTTGTTCCCGGCGTCGGCGAAAGCGGCTTGGACCAGCAAAATGCAAAATGAGAAAATCGGAAGCCATCTGACGGCGGACCGTCGACCCGACGTCTCGGACCCTGGCATCAGAAATCCCAGAGTCTCTGATTTTAGCAACGGCCGGATGATCCGGTCGGAGCTTCACGACTGCATCCGGCACTTGAGGAGACACCTTCGAGACGATTCGCGCACCAGTAGCACCCTCAACGTGGATGTGCTTTCGTCGTCGGCGCTGGCCCGCAGGTTCACCGAAAACTTCGAAGACGTCGCGCTGCTGCTTGGGGATGAGGAGCTGGCTTACGACTACGCGTCGCGGTATCACACGGTGAGTTACGAGACGCGCAGCCACGGAAACTCCTCGCATTACGCGTTCGTCCCGACGATCGCGGTCCCGTTCTGGCCCGACGAATGGCGCGAGTGGATCGCGAAGAAGCGAGCGCCCGCAAGAGACCCGCGAATCGATCTCGTCCACTCGTGGCCGACGAAGGAGATCGTGGAGAAGGCCCTGCGTCTCGGCTGCAACCTGATCCCGCGGCTCCCCGATCGCCCCTCCCGCCCCTCCGCCACTCATTCCTGGACGGCCGACTTCGGCAAGATCGAGACCTTCCTCTTGGCGACCCTCCGCCACTCGCAGATCCGCTGCTACCTCTTCTGCATCCTCCTCTACAAGACGTTCCTCGAAGACGCCAGGGGCCCCCTCGTCAACGCCCTCCACATCCGCCACATCCTACTGAAAGCCTGCGAGGACGACCCCCTGCGATGGCCAGCGGAGCGATCGGCCGAGAAGGTCTTCCACGTCTTCAGGTCCCTGCTCCAAGCCCTCCAGAAGCAACGCCTCCAGAATTACTTCGTCCGGAAGACGAACATCCTCGAGAACGTCCCGATGAACCAGATCCTTCGGATCTCGAAGCGCCTCTCGGAGATTCTCGAGAGCTGGCCGGTCGGCATCTTCCACGTCCTCGAGGCTCTCGGCTCCCTCGAGTTCGCGCCGGGATTCTACCCGCGCTTTCCGTTCGAGAAGCTCAATTATTACCTCACGGTGGATAAGGAGACGCTCATAGCCCAGCTTCCGATTACGGAGAATCCCGAACATCCCGAGACGATCAATTCCGCGGGGGAAGAAAGCGAAGAGAACGCCCGCATCAGGCGAGAACGCGCACGCCATTACATGAGAAATCAGCGAATTTTTCACGGAAGAGGAATCGACTTCAACGCGAAGATTTGGCACTTGGAGAAAATCCGTCTGAACAGCATCCTCCCCCTCTTCATCGAGCACTTCATCGCCATGGGTCGAAAGTCCGACGAGTTCCGCGACCGAAGCCAGGCTCTCCTATACCTGAACCAGGCCGAGAACCTCACGCGCCTCGTGCGGGATCAGTGCCACGACGGCGAGAAGTCCAACAGATACTTCGAGGACATCAAACGAGTTCGAAGCACCTTAAGGGTCGGGGTGGGAGACAGGAGGAAGGAGACTCCCTGGACTTCGTCATCCTCGAAGTCAAAGTCAGACAAAGTCCTCCTCAGATCCCGGCAGTTCCAAAAAAGCAGCCCGAAGCCGACGACCCCGTCACGCCCTGCGAATCCCCAGCCCGCAGACCAAGCCGAGGAAAACCTCGTCGAAGTGCAAGCAGGCATCCACGCACAGAACGCATCGACGCCGCACGCACCACGACCTCCCGCCCCGCCCGACTCCCTCTACACTTCCGCCCCCTCGATGGGAATCATCCGAGAAGACGAATCGGAGAATTCCCAAGACGAGACCGGAAATCCCCCCGGGCAACACGATGCTGCACTCGGTCGAAATCGCGAACTCCGGAGAGAAAACTCGTTCGAAGAGTGCGTCACAAAACTCTGATGAATTTCTCTGGTTAGAGCGATGCTTGTAATGTTCCCACTGCAATACGAAGAAGTGTCTGCATTTATCTTGTGTCTTCCTATCGGAGGTCTTTGCTGGATCAAAGATACCCAAACGCACGATATTCATCCGCTAACAATTTTCTTAAACATGACATTTGCCTCTTTTGATGTTTCAAAATTACAGCATAATAAATAGTGCATTCACAATGCCGAATAAACACCATCACGCAAGCGTTCCTTCAGCCTGCTCGAAAAAAAAAAAACGCCACGGGAAACAAGTACGAGCGTCGCCCTGAAAATAATGCGACGTGGTTGAATTTCTCGCTGCCGAAAAAGAATCGGTAATGAACATTCGCAAACGTCAAAAGAATGTCTATGGCATGGAAAGAATGTCTATGCCATGGAAAGAATGTCTATGCCATGGATCAAAGCAGTCAGCTGTTCTACTAAGCGATGAAAGCGCGGCAAGAATTTTCAGGATGTCGATGCCGTTTTACAGCGGCGAAGACGCGGCTGGGTGAGAAAGACAAGGACCGGGTTGCCCTTGTTCCACGCTGGCGTAAGGCTATAGGAGTGGAAGGAGACAATGCAGAAAAATAGAGTGTGCAGTCAAAACTCCCAGCTACATTGTGAGCGTTATCAAAAATATTTTTCCTGTAAATTTTGACCGAAAAAAAAATTGCGTTGCATTATTTTCTGGGCGACCCTCGTACTTTCAAACATGAAGAATTTGCTTGAAAACGAGCTTGAGAGCATTTAAAGTGCAGCCGTAGAGAGCTTGATGAGGTCGTCCGGGGGGGGGGGGGGGGGGGGGGGGGGGATTGTGAGAGTGAGATGAGGATTAGTGGATTGTGAGAGTGAGATGAGGATTAGTGGATTGTGAGAGTGAGATGAGGATTAGTGGATTGTGAGAGTGAGATGAGGATTAGTGCAAGTTCATCTAATGCAGCTCTTAAGAAATGGCCGAGATTTTGGCGGTTATTTCTCGACTTCCAGAAGCGCCAGAGGCCTACAAATCACACCGAGGAATGCATCTCTTTTTCCACCCGGCCTCATGGAAACTATGAATTTCTAAAATGACCAGAATCCATCCGCAGCAGCTGTTCGACAACGTCACCCCGTAAGATTTCATATCACGCCTCAAATCATCCCAAAAGAAACGTGTTAACGCATTGGTGCAGTCCTGAAATGGGCGGGGTGTGAACATTTTCGAGGTTTCTTAATTAGAACAACTGCCGTGGACTTTCACTGACGGTTAGAAATTTATCGTATTCTTGGGGCCGAGAGGAAAGATAAAACGCATACGAACAACACCCCAGTGAACGACATATACGAACACAGATACGCATCAATTGCAAGGTAATCGGCAGTAACATTGTTGAAACAACGGTAACAGCTGCTAGGGCCTTATCTGCCATTGAAAAAGGATGAAAACCTTGCGAATTGCGATTGCGAAACTCCACCCTGATTACACACCGGCATGACTTCAAAAGGATTGATAACATAGGAAAAGATGAAGTGGACTTTGTTGGCCTACACGCTCCCTCTTCTGCCTTGTGGATCCAGTTCCATCCCGTCTCTTGCAAACGAGTGCCGTCCCTGCATGCTGTCTTCATGCATCAACCCAAGTGACGAAAGCGCCAATTATCCTTTCAACCGGTTCCCTTGGCAAAGGAACAACCATTGCCGACACAAGATTCGAGCATGGGAAAGGTTTGCTTCAGCAACACCACAGACCAGGCGGACAAAGCAGGCCATCCCATCCCCAATGACGACTCCGTGGATGGCGGTCTTCAAGGGTCATCAGACGAAGTGGAGAAGGCGAAGGAGCTCAGCTACGAAGCCCTCCAATACGACCTCCTTCACAGGCAGCATTTGTCCAAATTGCAACCTAGGCACATTGGATCATCGCATCGGTCCGATATTGGATCGATGATGGAATGGGAATATTGGGTAGCCGATATTTAGCCGATATTGGCAATATTGGCCAGATGCATTCAACGTGCCCAGTGTTGGTTGGGTCAATATCTGGTGCTACTTGGGCGGGGAGTGAGTATTCCAATAAGTGACATTACAAAGTTGACGCAACGGTTCATCCACTGTTGAAAATTCAATGTTCATCTGAGTATTACGATAAACGACATTTAAATATTGAATTATTGTTAGATGCAATGCCCCCACAACGCTAGGAAGGTTGAAACTTAACGTTCATACAATGCGGATTGAATATTCGTTTGTTACCTGGGTCCTTCCTCTTCACCCCAGCACAATGACGGATACAGGGATGGGGAGCAGCGGGTGGGATTACAGAGGCGCCTTTCTATTAATAATTTCTGTATCTCCCTCTGCTCCATAAGGTGTGTTGTCCAACAGGCAAACGAAATCCTTCGATGGAAAGTGAACTATATATCGACAATCGATTATCAACCAGATCGACTATGGAGGAAGAATCAATTTATCCTCTCATGCAGGTTCGTCAGAAACCAGAAATCTTGTTTTTTTATATTATTGCCTGTCCAGTGCAGGAGTGACATTTCGTATCAGATGCTAAATAATAACGTCGTTGCTGATGGCATAAGGATATGTCAGGAGGGAAGATGAACACACTGAAACATTCATAGATAACCTGAGAGAAATCTTGAGTCCCAGAAGCAGTGGCACGCAACATTTATTAGTGTCGGTCTTCTGTCGGAAGTGACCGTCCGACCCGATGAGTTTCCTATTGGGACCCTACAAGTCTTATAAAAGACCTATTGGACTCCAATGTATTCCCATAGGATTACTATTCGGCTCCCTATAGCAATGCATGCTTCCCAATAGGAACCGCACAGGTTCAATAAACCAATGAGACCTATGGTACCTATGAGATTTTTATATATTAATTTAGGATTCTCATGCATTCCCACATGAAACCTATATTCAGTATTCTATGAGAAACATAAAGCATCCTACAAAATTCCTATTGGAATTTTATGGACTCCATATAGGAATGAGTGCCTCCTATATGTTTCCTTTAGGTCCTAAGGAAAAGTATAGGATTTTTAAATGTTCCTGTAGAATTCCTATAGGAGATTTTCGAGAGGGTGATTTTCTTATGGCCACGTTTGACCAAGAAAACCTATAATACAACAATAGGTGTTCTTTAAGTTTAAGGGTTTAGGATTTAGGTTTATGGACTTCATGTAGGAATGTACGCTTCTGATGAGAATCCCATAGGTCTCATAGGGAACCTATAGGATTCCTGTATGTTCCTATTGGATAACTATGCATTCTTATAGAATTCCCATTGAACTTTTTCGTAGGGGGTGCCCACATATAGAAAAAACTCCAGTCTGAAGATGATTGCTTCTTAAAGTGTTTACAACCTAGACCCATAAGTCTACCCTTACGGAAATGTCCTATAGGAAACCTTTAGCCATTCCTTATAGGAAACCTATAGACTTTCCTATAGGTTTTTGAAACACGAAAAACCTATAGGATCCTTTAGAATCCTATAGGATCCCTGTAGGGTCTTATAGGTCTCCTGACCTATAGGACTCGGGGAGGATATTTTGGGTTTCGAAATCCAGGCATTACGACGGAAAAGGCGACCGGGGTTAATAATGGGACAGCATTTTGGTGTANAGTACTTTAAGCTCTCTATTCCCCAAAGAGATTCCCTTAATCTTGCTGCTTCTTCGGACTGCATCTGACAAAATTTCAGCGCCTAGTATGAATAAGTAGGGGGACAGCGGGTCTCCTTGTCTTACTCCTCTTCTAATTGGGAAAAAATCAGTCGGATTCCCATTTATTATAACACAAGAGGAGATTTCCCTGTATAGGACTTGAACCCAGTTGAGCCCGCAGCGATATACACGATGGTAGTCTGTCGATTGGACGCGTTGTCATATAGTTTGGGGTCGTTCTGGTGACCCAGAACACACACCGGCGAGAGTTCATAAGGACTGATAACTACGAAAGTGAAGTGGAACTTGTTTACTTCCCCGCTTCCTCTCCAGTCGTATCGATACAGGCCCAATACATCACTAACTGTATTCTCGCCAGTGTGTTCCGGTTTCATATGCAACTACCCCAGTGTCGGAAAGGTCGAAAACCCATGAAGGCATTACTCTAGATTAGCAAGCGCCGTCACTAAACAGTCTTGAACCGAGCATGGGAAACGTGTGTCTATGCGGAACCTCAGGCCAGGAAAACGAAGCGGGCCGTCCCATCCACAATGAAGACTCCGAGGACGGCAGTCTTCCAGGGTCATCAGACGAAGCGGAGAAGGCGAAGGAGCTCAGCTACCAAGCCCTCCAATACGATCTCCTTCACAGGCAGCATATGTTCATACTCAACAATGTCTTTCTGGCGGTTCAGTTCTTCAAGAACTATGACAGGTAAATTGAAATTCTATTGCTTAAATTCCGATTAAGATTGTGTCTTTGTCGATGAATCTTTCAGAACTCTCGAGAAACTCTTTAGAACTCTCTGGCCTTCTGAGGATCACCTATTCATACGTTATTATTCCTCTTTCCACTATCACAATTTCTCGAAAGAGAATTTCGATGCCGGTGACGGTGCCACCCCAACAGTATCAGTCGCAAAATATATACTTTTGAAACAATATCATTGAATAAACGCCGCTTTGTCTCATGTTATTTTTATAGGGAAAAGGAGGAGATTGACGCTGCCAAAGGTGAAAGAGATCGAGAGATGACAAGAAAACTCCTCCCTAGCCATAAGTCCTGTTTCTTCACAGGCTGCCTCTACGAACAATTGACCTCGAACGTGGTGCTTCGCAAACGGAATGAACCCTACGCTAAGGTCATCGCACCGGCCATGGAGTGCTACATTAACTACGAGAATGCCGAAATACGTCGAAGCGACGAATCCTCTGTCGACTTCAATCGGTTGGAATCTGGTGGACTGCAGTTCAAAATGGACAGCGACTCGGAAGCATTCCAGCGAGGTAAGCTATCCCATATGCCCCACTGGGAATTTGGAAATAATTGCCGAAATGTCCCACCCGCTTTCGGTCTTGTTCCCGACCCGATAAATGAAACTCAGTATCCATCAGAGACTGTAGGCGACAGGAAAAAATAAATTCTGTAAATTCCACATTTGAAAAAAACATGAAAATTTTCCAAGGAATGTCTTCATCGCCGATGTTCGGTTATTGTGTTATGCATAGGCGGCGATTCCTAGGATTTCAGGGGGCTCGAGCCTCCTCCCTCCCCCCCCCAAAAAAAAAACTCTAAAGAATTATATGTAATGCTTAGAGTACTGTTTCTAAGCCCTCCCAAATATATCAACAATCGCCGCCTATGGTGTTACGTCTATGCCAAATGCTGAGTCCCATCAGGTGATGTTGAGGAATTTGTGATGGAATATTCCCCAAGAAACCGTATTTAGAAATGTTTTAACTTCGTAATGAAAGTAATTTGCTGATGATATACGAATATCAATCCCGATTCCATGTTTCATTATTCAATTCTACATATTTCAAAATAATTTGTGACCCACATCTACCCATTCATTCGTGATGAAAAAAAATCTTGTTTTACCTAAATATGGCGTGGGAAGAGAAATATTACGGAAAGAACTACAGTAATACAAATTGAAACTAAAGGATGATATCATAAAATTGAAGATGTCGCGAGTAATTTCATAGCCTTCAGGAATTAAAATAAGAAAGAACTGGTTTTGCCATCTGAAGTTCACTGGTTTCACCAGGAAAAGCGAATGCCGAATTTAAGGAGAGATATGCCAGGGGATTTTAAGATGGAGGGCACGAGGCATGAGATAAGTTCCTATTTAGAGTATCAGGATCACTGCTGGAGAAAACTACAGTCACCTTCAATGCTGATTGAAGCTATTGCTGATTCTTACAGGCGAGGTCAATCTGTGCCTCGACCACGAGACCGATGCGAGATCGAGCATCGTCAGCTTGGGATACAACAGCACCGACTATACCAGCAGCACCACCGTAACAGATGCCTCCGTCTACGCTCCACAAGGTAGGCGGCGAAGAAGGAATAAAAGGGGGAAGCATCTATCGGAGAACCCAAGTGGAGCCACGGACGCGAACATAAGCAGTTCAGACGAGGAGGAGAGGACGGGTGCCAGCTCGCTGTTTCCAGCTTCGGAAAGAGCAGCGTGGACGACTGAAAACCGAACGGGCGTGATTATGTCCAATATTGAAATCCATCAGGCAGGAAACCGTCAACCCAACGCCGGAAGCACTACAGACTCTGGCATGAGGAGTTCCATCGACACTGCCGCATCTCTCACAGATCTCACGTGTCGTCGGACAACGCAATCAGAGCTTCACAGGTGCCTCAAGCATCACATAATACATCTTCGAGAGGATGCACGAATTAGTAGCACCCTTTACGTACACGTCTTATCGTCGTCGGCACTTGCTCACAGGTTCATCAAAAACTTCAAGGACATCGCGTTTCTCTTAGGAAATAGGGACCTTGCTAATCATCACACTTCGCGATATCACATGGTGAATTAAACGTACACGTCTTATCGTCGTCGGCACTTGCTCACAGGTTCATCAAACACTTCAAGGACATCGCGTTCCTCTTAGGAAATAGGGACCTTGCTAATCATCACACTTCGCGATATCACATGGTGAATTATGAGACTCGCACGTATGGAAATTCGGCTCATTACAGATTCATACCAACGATCACAGTCCCATTCTGGCCTAACGAATGCCACGAATGGGTCACAAGGGAGCGAGTCCCAATAAAGGACGTGCGACTGAATCGAGTCTACGTGTGGCCAACAAAGGATATGGTGGAAAGAGCAAAGCTTCTTGGCTGCCACTTGATCCCCAAGCTCCCGGACCGTTCCTCCAACCCCTCTGGGACTCATTCGTGGACGATGAACTTCATCAAAGTCGAAGCTTTCCTCATGAGGACACTTCGGCATTCCCAAATCCGCTGTTATCTCTTCTGCATCGTTCTCTACAAGATGTACCTCGAAGATCCGAAAGCACCGCTCATCAACGTCCATCACATCCAGCACATCCTCTTCCATATGTGCGAGGACGAACCCCAGGAGTGGCCAGAGGACCAATTGGCCGAAAGGATTTTCCACGTCATGAAGTCCTTACTCCGAGCCCTCGAGAAGCGGCGACTGCAGAATTACTTCATGAAGAAGATGAACAACCTTGAGAATATTCCCATGCAGCAAATCCTTCGCATGCAGAAGCGGGTCTCAGAGCTGTTGGAAAATTGGACAATGAGTATATTTCACGTCCTCGAAGGTCTTAGTTCTCTGGAATTCGCTTCTGGCTTCTATCCCAAGTTTCCATTCGAGTCGCTCTACCATTACCTTACGACAGGGAAGCAAACTCTGCTCGTCCAAATGTCGGAAATGAGTTTCTCTGAGCAATCTGAAATTGCTAATGGGCTCAAGAACACAGCGGAAACAAGAGCAGGAAAATTCTTCATGAAAATGTCGGAATCAGCTTCATTGCAAAAATTTGGCACTTGGAGAAAATCAGACTGAACTGCATCCTCCCCCTCCTAATCGAGCACTTCATCGCCATGGGTCGAAAGTCAAACGAGTGCAGAGACCGAAGCCCGTCGTTCCTTTATCTGAACCACGCCGAGAACCTCACGCGTCTGTTCCAGAAATATTGCCACGATAGCGATAAGTCCAAGAGATACCTTCAGGACATCGAGCAGATTCGAAATCTCTCGAGGAATGAACTGATAGAAAGGGGAACTTCCAACTTGAACTGGAAAAAGGAAACTCCTGAGTTCGGGCCTATTGTGAACCGAGACCAACTCAGCTTCAGGCGTCGACAGGACCCGGAAAACTACCCTGAGCATCGTACCCTACCTCAGACAACATCGAAGCCGATTTCGATTGATTTGTTCTCATCCAGGAAAGCCCTCTCCGCAGTCCTCACCTCCTTCCCTTCGATCTACCCACTGCCGATGAGGAATGCGAATTCACCCTTAACCGATGCGGACGACTTGCATCTCAGCGAATAGAGCGACAGCAGAGGAAGAGGAAGCCACCATGCACAAGTTCAAGTTCACCCCAGAAAATTACCTTATTTCACCAGATTCCCCCCCCCCCCTCCCCTCCCCACCGCCGCATCGCTTCCTGACATTTCCTCTTACCTCCAATGGATTCGAACAAGAGGGATGATTCCGAGAATCCTAATGAAGAATCCCAAAACCCAACCTTCCACTAATTGAGGGTACCGTTTTTGAGTAAAGGCCAGGAGACCCGAACGAATAGATGTCACCGATAATTCGTGCAATGAAGAATTTGCCAATATTGGTGAACTCATCAACTCCCAAGAAAAGGTTCTTCTCACCCTCATGGAAAGATATTTAAATATATGTGATGTACGATTTAATTTGCATGGTTTGGATGAAGTCCGTAGTATTTACGTAGTAAAATGACTGCAATTCGAAGGAGAAATGCCAACATATTTTAGTATGTCTAGGATTTTTCCTTGGAGTTGCATATACCTAGTACGTACTGAATGAAAATTCCCATGAATGTGGTTATTTCATCTTAGCAATTTTTTGAAGCTGTAAACATGCCATGAGCTTCATCAATGCTCACCTGAATAAACGTGAATATGCAGGGCTATCCGAAAACCACTTAACACTTTCGCTATTGTTATATTTATTTTTTATGTACTTATATCTCATTACGTAACAAGAAATCCTGAGATTCATACAACAGCACAAGCTCTCTGCATTACGTGTACCTATTTTCAAGTTCTTAGATTCTACAAAGTCTCGCAAAAAATATGTTCCTTTTAGGAACATAAAGTGTGAAGTGACTGATCACCCTGTACATTCCGGAGTTCAATCTGAAACCGATTCTCCAAAGATATCATTTTACATGATAGGCAAGTAAAGCAGCAAGCGTGGGAACGTGCACCTGGGACTTGCGTGGAAAAAGAGGAAAAGACTTAGAATCCAGCTGTCGAATGACTCATGCAGGTTTCCTGGTCCATTGCAGTCAACCACATTTTCTGGATCGTGTTGTGAGAGTTCCACGGTTGAGCATTTTCCTGGAACCTTCTCTTCAAAACGGGAGGTTCGTTTGCAGGGAGGTGGGGGGGATGACATCCACCCTCTTCTATTCCATAGAGATAATTCATTGAAACTTGGGTTGAATTTCCCTGGAGATACATGATATCTAGGATTAAGTAATTTATTGAAATGAGCTCGCTGTTCATATCCCTGTCTTAGAACATCCCCCGAATCTGATATGAAACCTTTTCAGATGTTTCCTTGAGCACGATAAGGGAGACAATTTCCTCTCCGACTGAAACTTCATACGCCCGTCTCCGACTACGCGTAAAAGGAGCCGATCGAGATTAGTCATAAATAATATTCTAGTGGTCTCCAGCTGGAAACTTGATACTCCCACTTGACCCTCAAGCCGCGATATTGATGCGGACACCGCTGGAATACCTGAAATCTGTCATCAGAGAAGTCAGAATTAATGAATTGATTCCAACCCGATCGGAATTTAGCAAGGTCCGCGGATTTGCTGTGAGAAAAGCAGTTAATCAGGTCATCTTTTCCACAAAACGGCCTTGGAATTCGGTGAAAGTGAGCTGACGTGCTTTTCGGCACTATTTAAGGAAAAAAAGATTTTGCCGATGTCTACCAGTATCAATTTGATTTGAGTGGAGCAGGGAACAGGATCTTTACCTCGTCCTTATCGCATCAAGTAACGGGAAAACCACAGAACATCACTTTTCTGAGAATTCTCTCGGCGGAGTGCCTCTGTCTAATCGGTGCCTTTCTGATAAAAAAAAAGCCTGATATGAATTTTTCCACAAAGGCATTTCGACACTGCAGTTCCGGTGCCTTGCGATTCGATACCCTTCGAATGCCTGGGGAAAATGAGGAAAAGTGATTATCGCCGACATGGTGCAAAACGATACTGGAAGAAAACAAAGGAAAGGAAAGAAACGAGTAAAGCAAAGAAACGTCACTGTGAGAAAAGCGACAAAATGCTCCATATCGAATAATTAGATGAATGAAATTACAAAGTTAGGAAAACAACGACTTTAACTCTTTCCAGACACCTCATGAATGAAATCCAATTCGTACGGGTCTCCCATAATGTCTACAATCCTACATATCTAATCCACATTAGCCGATAAAGAGTCAGCTTGGATGCCGCTCAACCCAGAACACTCACCATTATGAGTTCAGATAGATTGATAACGGCGAAAGTGAAGTGGAACTTGTTTACTTCCCCGCTTCCTCTCCCGTCATGGATATAGGTCTCATGCATCACTAACAAAGTATTCTCGTCAGTGCATTCCGGTTTTGCATGCAGCTACCCCAGTGTCGAAAAGGAACGAACACCCATGAAGGCATTACTCTAGAAGAACAAGCGCCTTCGCTAATTTAAGAACAGTCTTGAACCGAGCATGGGAAACGTGTGCCTCTGCGGCACTTCAGGCCAGAAAGACAAAGCGAACGATGCCATCCCCAATGACGACTCAGTGGATGGCGGTCTTCCAGGGTCATCAGACGAAGCGGAGAAGGCGAAGGAGCTCAGCTACCAAGCCCTCCAATACGATCTCCTTCACAGGCAGCATATGTTCATACTCAACAATGTCTTTTTGGCGGTTCAGTTCTTCAAGAACTATGACAGGTAAATTGAAATTCTATTGCTTACGTTCCGATTAAAATTGTGCTTATGGCAATGAAACTCTTAAGAACTCTCTGGCCTTCTGGGGAACCACCATTCATATTTTGTGATTCTTCTTTTCATTTTCACAATTTCTCGAAAGATAATTTCGATGCCGGTGACAGTGTCACCCCAACGATACCAAGTTGAAAAATACTTTTAAAACAATATCATTAAATGAACGCGGCTTTGTATCATTTTATTTATTACAGGGAAAAGGAAGAGATTGACGCTGCCAAGGGTGTAAGAGATCGAGAGATGACAAGAAAACTCCTCCCTAGCCATAAATCCTGTTTCTTCACCGGCTGCCTCTACGAACAATTGACCTCGAACGTGGTGCTTCGCAAACGGAATGAACCCTACGCTAAGGCCATCGCACCGGCCATGGAGTGCTACATTAACTACGAGAATGCCGAAGTTCTTCGAAGCGACGAATCCTCTGTCGACTTCAATCGAGTTGGATCTGGTGGACTGCAGTTCAAAATGGACAGCGACTCGGAAGCTTTCCAAAGAGGTAAGCTGTCAAATATGCCAAATTGGAAATTCGGAAATTGTCGAAATCTCCCACCCTCTTCCAGTCACGATCCCAAACCAATACGTGAAACTCTCAAGTATCCGTCTAAGACAGTAAGTGACTGAAAAAAAAACTCACCTGAATATAGTAAATTCCACTTATATTTATTACGAGTCGAAAGCCCATGTACATACGGGTGTTCAGACGATGAATTTAGATTTCGTTTATTGGATGACGATTGCTGGATAAAATATTTCTAAATTTAAGAGAAATATTTCCGAATTTAAGAATTCCAGTGTGTTAAGCACACTCCGGAAATGCCGCCAAGGCCCAGTCCTTGCACAATGTCTTCTTCACCGCTGATCGTATTCGGAATCTGTCTCATCTGCTCTGCGTACGCGGGAACGTTCGGCCACGGTACTCGGTACTTCAGAGCAATCGACATCCGCATGCCTCACCGCGCGATTCGCTCTCTCTTACGATCTTCGGCGTGAGTCCATTTTCTAGCTATTTCTCTGTCGACGCTTTTGTGGCACGATAAGGGAATCATATTCCCCAAGAAAAAAATAAAGTTTAGATTAAAAAATACACTTGTATGTCCGTAAGGGCCCAGAGGGACAGAACTTAGACGCACTCAGGCAGACATGAACATGTATCAATACAACATACACGCAATCTCAGTTCCACAATATATTATGTGGCATTGTGCTCATTCGGCACAAGAACGTCGGGTCAACACTGAGCGAGGACTGATTTTTCAATGTAACAATGTTGCCATAACGGTGTGTAAAATGTTGCCGATGTTGCCGCAATGCTGAAATGAAACACAGTTCAACGTTCAGTTCAACTTTGGAAATACTAACACGAGTCACGTTGTGCTAGCGGTGAATTGTCAACGTTTAGGCATTACCTCTTCCTTTCTTTGAACCTGAAAGCGTGCTGATATTGATTAGAATTTGAAAGCACTCTATTGAGTGTAATTATACCACGGAAGGTTCTGTCCGAGTAACTTTCTTCACTGGATCAGAACTCGAGTTAAGTACTTAAGTTAAGTACTAATGACACAACTCAATCTGTTCAACAAAGGAGTAATGGGTTGACATGACCGCCAGATTTACCGCTCACGCAGGAGAGACAGACACACCCATTCGCACACGGTTAGCACACGGTTAGCACACGGTCATTCTCGAAAGCGATATCAGTTGTACGTGGGAACAGGTCATGTACCACATGAAAAATGCAATTAACTGTGTTTTTTACGGCGCCAGGGTGAGAATCTCTAAATTAGTGGTTATTCGCTATCTCGCATCGATTGGTTGAACCTATTTTCTGTCGAGGTGATGTAGATAACTACATTTTGAAACAGCATAGAGAAGATGACGAAGGCAAATGTGAAAAATGAATTAGAACTTAACATCTTCCGAACGACAGCGCTGATCCTTGAGAGATTTCTTTCGCAAATAATTCGGTAAGTCATGAATATCCAGCATTGCATTGATTTCTTCTTCGTATCTTCCACTGAACTCTTCAACCTTGAGTCAACATTTCAATTTTATGTCAGTGTTGCCCATATCGTCGCGCCGAATGGGTAGCATGTACCCAGGCCACTTGATCTCACATGCTGTCATGAGGTCTTTCCCTCCTTTCTCTCTCATCTGTTCCCCGAGGAAAAAGTTTTCCCACTGAGAACGACGAACTCTTCTCAATGAAACTGAGAAAGGATGCGAGCTTCGATGTGAAGTCAAGTGTAGAAAATTCGTCTACAATAACCTCCTTAGCTATCTAAACTGAACCGAGATGGGCTCTTAAGACTCTTAGGAGACTCTTAACTCAGATTGGCAGTAGGATCAAATTTTAACATTTTTGCATTATAAAAACGAAATCTAACAGAGAGAAGGGGCTTTCGAATAATATAACATACATAAATATGGGTTCAGTGGAAATATATGGTCATCTGGGTCAAATCAAAGGACAACTCAGAAAATAAATCTAAAATGAGTTTGCACATCCATAAAAAAAAAATTGAAAACGATTGAGGCATCGTTGATGAAAACCAGTTGAGAAACCTGGGAGAGGTCCACCGGACAAAATCCTGCCATGCAAAACACTGCAGGTCGTTATGCATGTAGATTATACACGAACATTTCCCGAGGAACGTCTTCATCGCCCGACTTTGGTTCTGGCGTTGAGACCATGCCAAATGTTTTCTCCCAAATGGCGATTTAGGCAAATTGTGGAATAGAACACTTCAAACACGAAACTGTCTTCAGATAATGTTTCAACTTTGTGGAGTCTTTCAAAACTAACTCATTTGTTTGATTACATACCTCTCCCGATACCGAGTTTAACCACTTAATTCTTCAGATTTCAAGTATTTCGGGACTCACATCAACCCATTTATTCCTGATTATACAAATCTGTTCCTTCCTAATGATGGCGTAGGAAGAAAAATATTAAGGAAAGATCTAAGGTAATACTGTACTAAATATAGCTGAAATATTAATCCTTGAGATTGAAAATGTCGGTATCAAATTCGCTATCTTCGGGATAATTAAATTTGTTTTCTATTGCAAGTTCTCTGCGTTTATCCGGATAAGCGAATGCCTGATTAAAGGAAAGTGCCATGGGTTTTTTGAGGAGCACGAGACATGCAATAAGTGCTAGTTCGGACTAGAAGCAATGCAACGCATGGAACCTGCAGTCACCTTCAATGCTAATATATCCAATTCTTATAGGTGAGGTCCATCTGTGCCTCGACCACGAGACCGATGCGAGAACGAGCATCGTCAGCTTGGGATACGACAGCACCGACTACACCAGCAACACCACCGTAACAGATGCCTCCGTCCACGCTCCACGAGGCAGGCGGCAAAGAAGGCAAAGGAGGGGAAGCCGTCCATCGGAGAACCCCAGTGGAAGCACGGACGCGAACATGAGCAGTTCAGACGAGGAGGAGAGTACACGGGCCAGCACGCTGTTCCCAACTTCTGAAAGAGCAGCGTGGACGACTGAAAATCGAACGGGCGTGTATATGTCCAATAATGTTTCCTATAGGAAAATAGGAAACCGTCAACCCAACACCGGAAGCACAACAGACTCTGGCATGAGGAGTTCCATCGACACTGCCGCATCTCTCACAGATCTCACGGGTCGTCGGACAACGCAATCAGAGCTTCACAGATGCCTCAAGCACCACATAATACATCTTCGAGAGGATGCACGAATTAGTAGCACCCTTCACGTACACGTCTTATCGTCGTCGGCACTTGCTCACAGGTTCATCAAACACTTCAAGGACATCGCGTTCCTCTTAGGAAATAGGGACCTTGCTAATCATCACACTTCGCGATATCACATGGTGAATTA